GCCTTTTAAGTTTTAACAGGGTCTCCTATATTATATGGGGAAAACTGTCTTAGTGGTATAACATCATATTAGGCGGCTGCAATACTTTGCTTGAATATCCTGGAGTTTCCCTTGGCCTTACTGACTTACTGAGTTACTCTTAGGTAGCTGTCTGAATATGGCATTGGCTTCACGTGGTGCTGTGACATACCATGGGTGTGATCCAGTGGTGCACGCTGCCGCCGAACGCTGCCACCGCCGAGTTTTTGCTCACGCCGCCACGCCGAAGAATAAATCAGCGGCGGCGTGAAAGAATTTTGAAATATCTTCCATCGGTAAAATTGAATTGATTTATCAATCCTGTATCAATATATGTCTGACGTCATCAGCTTTAAACGTGGCACATGCAATGTTACATGTTATTGTGCATTGTAGCATGCTTGGGCATTTTCTTGTTCGAAAACTACAATTGCCAAGGGGCCACGCCGCCGAACGCCGCCGCCGCAAGTTTTGGCCTCGCCGCTGCCGATTATGGCAAAACGCGGCGGCGTGCATCACTGCTGTTATCTTTAAGTTTAACCAAAGGTTCACTTCACACGCCGGAGATATCATAGTCTATTCTCCGTCACAAACACTTAAACACAAGGTCCAATGTCCATCTAATATCCAATATCAGTATTGTACGTCTGACTATTGTACGTCTGACTATTCGCTTTATATTCCTATAAATTGGAATATAAAATTGGCCTGGTAAGGTTATTGGAATGGAATCCTGCAGATTTTTAAAACAAATTTCGGCCTATTTGTTTTGAACACTGAACAATCGGCCACATTTTTAACTAATTTAATTTTAACCCGCCCATTGCACCTGCATGTTGCATATTTTGTTAAAATATAATTGTTTCACGAGTAGCTCCGCAAAAACTTAAGGATCTGCATTTTCGGACCTTATCAGTGGGCCATCCTATATTTCTGAAAATAGAAGAGACGTGAACTTTATTTTATTTAAAAATATCTCAGTTAGTTTGTAGATTTATCCCATTTGTTAGACGGTATTGAAGTTATGAAACAGTGAGTAAACGGTATAGAATGAACTTGCTATCTAAAAAATAGGAGTGTGATGTAATTATATCGAAGTACCTGGTATATAAAGATGTTTCACATTACGTTATATAAACACTGGGCATTTAATAAATAAAATAATGTGTATACTAATAATTAGTAATTACGACATATTTTTATTATCATACCTAATTTTATAGTCGCTATGAGTTTTATGTTTTATTTAATCAAAACTTACCATTCAGGCTGGAAAATGTTATGAAAACTTAAACAGCGAAAACAGTGGACAAGTTTGCCTGCTGACTATTTCTTACAAATTGTGAGTAGTAGAAAATGTATACCTTTTTAATTAAACATTCCTCATGTGCAATAAAACACATGCAGAAAAACGCATGCATTATTTGTCTACTATTTCATATTTCCAAAAGGATATTTCTCAGTATCCTTTTAAAATAGTAATCTTACTATATATAAAGCGAGAAAATATATATGGATGGATCCGTACCATTTTACTGACACCAGAGCATCAACTTTAACGCGACTTTCCGCGAAAACCGTAAAAGAAATAGGAGTTTTAGAACCCAAACCAGCTCACGGTTTTAACATATTGTGAGTAGTAGAAAATTTATAATTTTTATTCGTCTACTATTTCCAAAATATATTTGTCTGTGTCCTTTTGAAATGGTAATTTAAGTGCGGTCCAAACTCTAGAACCCGAGACTCTAGGGAAGCGACCTACAAACCAGGGCTCTAGGGCGTGGAGACTTGAATTGATAAATACATAAATACACATTAGTTACACAAGTATCAAGAGTAATTAGAATTTTGAATTGTAATCATATTTCTTGGTAAAAGCCTGGTAACACAGTCAAATAGCTTTAAGTTTAAACAAACCGTGTTAATTAAAATCATTAATGGGACACATTGCACTGCACCTTGAAAAGCAACACTGTACTGCAAAACACAGCTAGTGTAAAATAGAAGGCGGCAACCAGACTAGTCCTCCCGGGGCGTGCCAATGATAAACTTTGCCTGCTCACAAGTACTACACACTCGTTTAGCGACTAAATTACTAAACTATTATCACCATAAAGTGGGAACGCTTTCAGTTAGGAACTTCAAAATTTCTAGACACATTTGGCTTGATAATTGAAGTGGTTTCCCAAAATTTCAAGTTAGTTGTTCACAAAACAACTTATAGGACAGCAACCGAAGTAAAGCGCTATAAGTTTTAAGGAACGTCAATATCAGTATTCACTCAAAGTGATTAGATCGTCATCCACCAACAGGCTCGTTACCGCCTAATGAGTCTCTTTGTTGCTCGCTAGCGAATAGTCCCGATGAGATTACTGATTAAAGTTATTAAAGGGTTGCTTGTGGGCAGTTACTTTTGGGCCACCCTGTAGTAACTAGTATTGGCCAAAGAAAACTACAACTTTTTACTGCAAAACACGTCTATGCACTGTAAAACATAATCGCAAACTGTATAACACAACACGGAACTGTAAAACACAACACTGAACTGTAAAACACAACACTGAACTGTAAAACACAACACTGAACTGTATAACACAACACGGAACTGTAAATCACAACACGGAACTGTAAATCATAGCACTGCACAGCAGTCAGCACACGACACAGTAACTGACTACTAACATTTCTCTAGGTAACTACCAGTCAAGATGTCTGACCAGAGCATTGAACTGCATACAGCAACTTTACTGGGTAAGGCAAAGGTTGTAAAAGAACTGTTGAAACACAGTAATATTGATGTTAACTGGGAGGATGGGTCAGGTACACCACTATTTATAGCAGCCAATTTGGGTAACACAGAGATTGTAAAAGAGCTGTTAACACACCCTGATATTGCTGTTAACTGGGATGGTGTGTTAGGTACACCACTTTATCAAGCAGCTTATCGGGGTAACACAGACGTTGTAAAAGAGCTGTTAACACACAGTAAAGTTGATGTTAACAAGGGGACTCAGTGGGGTACACCACTGTGTATAGCAGCTGTAAAGGGTAATACAGAGGTTGTAAAAGAGCTGTTAACACGCAGTGATATTGATGTTAATAAGAAGGGCCTGTCAGGTACAGCACTGCATTGGAAAGCTGGGCAGGGAAACACAGAGATTGTAAAAGAGCAGCCGTTATCACATAGTGAGGTTAATGAAGGTGACACTCCCCTCCTGATAGCTGCTAGGATGGGTTATTTGGACATTGTGAAACAATTGTGCCAAGTCGATGGCTTGGATAAGAACCACGTTAATAAATTTGGTTATACTCCCTTCCTCGCTGCTGCTGAGGAAAGTCATGTTGATATACTTAAATACCTTCACAAATTAGGCTGTGTCAATATGGAGCAAGTGGATATCGACCAGGCAATATATGTGTTCTGTAAAAGTTCCGTCTTCAAAACACTTGTTGACATCTTCGTAGATTCAGACGTTAATGAGGAACATTTATCAAGTTTATTGAATGTATTGTACGTAAGTTTGCAGGCTAACATCAAATGTGATGAGGACTGTGGTGAGTCTAACCATCTCCTCCTCCAACTACTCCTCCGACTACTGACCTATAGTAATATGTTACAACTGAGTCTCCAATGCAGTCCAACGAAACCCAAAGAAGCAAAGGAATCTGAAGAAGCGATCGAAAAAGACTCGATTGAAAAGTTTCTTCGAGAAACATTGGGAGGGAATGTTTTCGAAAGATTCTCCGCCCAAATATATAAAATTTCAGATGAAGGATATAGAGGGGACATTGAGGCAAAACTTGTAGCAAAAAGTATTGCTAAAACCTATTTGAAGAAGAAAAAGCAAGGATACTGCGCTCCCATAGAAAATGTTAAAGAGAACATCGAAAAGTGTCTGTTTTCTGCATGCTTTAGCAAGTTTTTTCACAAGTGCAGTATTCGACGTAGCTCTGACTTTTTTACCTGCTTATTAGTAATATTTATTCATATTTCTGATATTGCTTCTGATGTTTATGTAGGCTACAAAACGCTAAACGGCTTTTCTTCAAGATTAGGCATACTAATGCTAGTCCTTGTTTTTGTGACATTGTTCCAAGAGAATATCCGCTCATCAATTTCAACATTTGCTACTGGGATAGAGCAACTCCAGACAAATCTTGGAAAATTCACATTAACAACAAAAGATTTGAAAGGTTCCGAACTAAACTATGGATATGACTTGTGGGTGCCATTTAAATATATAGGACGATTCTTTTGGCCGTTCAAAGTAAAAGGACATACATCAATATTAACATCTGTTAAAGCCGTATCTTTCAACGTACTCTCGATATTTTGGCTTCGGCCAGTCGTTGATCGTCTGCAATTTGTCATGCACTCACCTTCTAAATTACGAGTCATCTATAGGCAGCAGGCCAAAGACAAATCTCTTGCCCAATACTATATGATAATGGAACAGATTCCTGAGCTTCTCATCCAGTTTTATATTTTTCAAATCTACTTCAACATTTTGAGGAAAGATGGGGATTTCAGAAGCTCTGGATGTACGGACTATCATAGTTTCGATTACGATTCAGGGGATTTTCAGTGTGTCGAAAACCTACTGAGATTAAAGATATGCACGTCATGGGTAGAAGTATATTCAATGATAGTGCCGTTTTTGAAGATTCCCAACAACGTGATCGGGTTGGAAGTGATACTTCGGAAACTCCATCCAGCAACACCAAAGATGTCTACTGTTTCCCTCGTGCTATTGTATATAGCTTATGTTCTGATGATTCCTTCTAGACTCTTCCTAATTGCAGCAGTTATGCACTCAGTCCCCAATCACTTCTATGTTGCTGGATATGTTGGATTATTAATTTTAGTTTGGTTTGTTGTTAATAAGATCACGATATTGATAAGTAGAGCCAGCAAGAAAATACCAAGTTCAAAGGATAAAGAAGAAGAACTTACGATACTACGACGTATTGCAAAGGTGACGTCTAGTATTGGTGAAATGTGGTCTCTCCTGCTATTCAGTTTTAGAGATGTTATTGTCATTTCGTTACGTCGACCGAATGCATATCTTATTTCCCCCTCTAAAGTAGGCTACGAAACTTTAAGGACCTGGAAAGAGATGATGGTCATATCAACCTACATGTTTGTCGAGGGAGTTATAGGAGCGGTTTATGTTGAGAATAACTACCCCTGCGGTAGGAATACTGATATCTTCAAATACCAGGGATGGCTCTACCTAATACTACTGATCATTTCAACTACCCTCATAACTTTGCTTTCTTACATTCTCCAGGTCAATAAAACGAACTTTAAAAACTTCCGAATGAAGTCAGCCTTTATCTGCGGATATGGGTTAATTATGTGGTTAATAGCATCTTTGACCTTGTGTATCTCCAAAACAAGATTTAGCCTGATGGAGCTGAAATGGGTGATCATGGTATTAGTGATCCTGATGATTATCTTTCTTGCAGCAGCTATATTATTAAGAAAGTTTAGTGAAGCAAAACTACCGAAAAAAGCTTCCGCCTGCTGTCCGAGCTCTTATTTCAAAAAGCCTTGCTCTAAATCTATCTGTTGCAGATGTAAGACTACTTCAGATGAACTTTCTTTGTCAACCCTGCCACCATCAACTCAGACTCATCGTTGTGAAACTGAAACGGAACGCAGCCCGCTTTTAGCAACCAGACAGGAAGAGAAAATCAGTGATATTGAAGCTCAGAATGTAGAAGCTGACATCACACCAGCAGAAGACGAACACAGGGAGCTCCAAGACTCGCATGTATAGTTTAAAAGCTTTATTATGTTTTTTATTATTATGTTTTATTTATTATTTGTAAGTATTAAATGATGCCTATCGTATCATTCAAATGTTTCAAGAACCCACCTTGAAGAAGACACATATATCTAATCTAAGGATGAGAACCGGTGTTCACAACTTTCATCAGAAGTGCTTTCCTCTATAAGGGAAACAATTTCATACTTTTCACGGATACAAAGATGATATTTTTATCCTCTCACCTTAATCTTATTATCATTAATTCTCTTTTACTTTCTTTTTCCTTCTCAACTTAACACTATCCAACCCGACTCTTTAAAGACAAAAACCTCCGCAAGCAACTCAAGAATCGCTACATTTGAGTTCTCAAATAACAGGTAATTTTAATTTTCGTTCATTTCCACTTGCTTTTAATGATCCTAAGATTTGTTACAAATTTCACTTTAGGTTACTTACTTTGTGTCGTTCTTCAAAATGATACGAGTTCATGTAGGGTTTTTAAGTATTCTATAATTCCGGTATTTACTAAATAATAAAAGGGACAAGCCCGTAGAAAGTCAGGAAATAACCTTGTTTTATCTAATTTGTTTCTCACTAGGCGAGGATCAGTGAAAAGCAGTGATCAGGAGCAGTTTACTTGTGGTTTAGTTGGTCGCTATGGTAACTCTAGACACTCACGTTTAATTGATCCTGTTGAGGCACCTGCACTAATTTGGTAAATTGAGATTAAAGTGGGTGGATCACGTGTATACTATATATCAACTGTTTTAAATAAGTTTAAAATAAGTTTCCAATACAAGTTATCTAGAAACGTTTTGTTATCCCTTGTAAATTGGAAACATGTCTTTCATAAAGATTTCTATTATTACCATGTTTATAAAAACATTTCCTATTGCATAAATATAGCTTAATTATGTATCTATGCAATTACATCTCAGGAGATGTGACTGAAAGGCGACTGAAAGACACGTGATGCCCATATAAGGACACTTATCTTCCAAATCACCTCCATCATTATCTCCTGTACTCCTTCACTGATACTGCAGGTTGAAATTATGGTTATGTTGAATTAATCACATCTACGTATTGCTTTCAATGATATTATATTCAGTGAAAAATCAATTTGGTACTCGGGATACAATATATCCCTTATATGGGCATCACGTGCCATTAGTATACCATGAGATCGCTATATAGGTAACCACGGTTACCAAGGTTACCGTTGTTGTTCCAATACGAGTACCACTACCATGTTGCACTTTTCAATTAATGTTTGGTAAAGCCTAAGGTGTTTGTAATAGGAGATGGCCCATATAATATATTATACCCTTACTGTTTCAGAGAAGAAAGCGGTGTTTATATCCCTTATGTGGGCATCAAGTGTTTGTGAGTCAAGAACTTCTTTTTGTGTTAGAGCTAACTTCACTTCCTCATTGAACAAAAGGTGAGTTTCAATTTTAGCGGATTATACTTGATACAACCGCACAGAAAAACTAATGCTATAAAATCATCTTTCTAACTATTTAAACTTTAATCAATGTCATCATCATCATTAATCAATTAAATGAAATCAATGAATGTAATAAGTTAAATCCTTTTCAATTTCATTTTTAGCCTTTCTGGTGAAAACTTACATCGTGGCAAAATAATAATTTTCTGTCTGAAAATTTTGAGTTTGTCCAGATTAGTACTGTAGTTTTTGAACAACAAACCTGTTAAACTTTATTTTCCTCAGGTTATGAGGGCTGCCAACTTTGACATCCTTCCAAAGAATACACTGCCACCCTTTCCACTCCTCTTCAAAAAGACAGTTGTTCCTGGTTCCATCATCTTAAGTAAAATATATCTGCATTATATAGCTGATTGTGCGATATATTCCGTCTGGTTACACGATATTAAAAATGTGGGGTAAATCAATAATTATGTCTGAGAATTGAGTTGTCAGAACAATGAACATTTAGCTATAGGTTTTTATTGTGAGTCTAGTTGTCAGTTAACAAATCTTACTAAGTTTTTAAATCCAGCTGCACTGCTGTAGTCAATAGTTACCGTCCAGTAAAAATGTAAACTTTTTATTAATATCACTCAGATATTGTTCCGTATATCTAAGTTTTCAGCTGTTTTAGCTAGGTTATGTAACCTCAATTAACTTTCGTCAAATTACCTAATTAAATTATCATTAATTTTTTAACTGATATGTTAGTAAAAGTATTAAACTGTTTTAAATTTGACCGATCATAATCAGACTATATCAGGGCATTTTAAAAACAGCGATTCAGTCGTTTATTATTAATTTTATTTGCAAAGCTACTTTAATTTTGCGGTTTTGATACTGTGTTAAATCCACAGGGTTGTTATAAATTTAACTACTTCAACGTTGTTTTTTATGGCTTGGTATAATGACCTTCAGAACTAATATACATAATAGTTTTCTTTGTAATACAAACTTAAATTACTAGAGCGAGGATAATAACGAAAATTAAGTATTTTCCGAGAATTTTTCAAAATAATACTTTAATTGCTTTGAGCCATCAGAATGTTTAAAGACTAAGCGGTATACAAATATTATGAATAAAAATATAATATGAATACAAATCACTTGGAATACTTTTCCAATAGAGAATAACAAACCCAAAACGCTAATGTCTTCTTTCTCTTTGAAACCATAACACTAAGGGGCCGTTCACTTAATTTTTAACCCCCTTCCCCTCCGCAATCATTTTTAAACATAGCTATTGTGTCAAAATTACACACACTCTCTCTCTCTCTCTCTCTCTCTCTCTCTCTCTCTCTCTCTCTCTCTCTCTCTCTCTTTGACCTATCAGGAAGTGGACTTATTAGTATCAGGAATTATCTGTAGCTCTAAAATTGACTCGTGTCAAAATCGCCAGTTTCGGGGTCTGCGAGACTCATTGTGCCTGGTTCACCCCCCGCTGAGGGTGAAGCTGACCCTTCAGGAAGATATATTTGCACTGAAGCATCTCCTAATTCGTAGGCGAGGGTTCAGAAGCAGAGATGGACAGCAATTTACCCTTTGATTCAACACTTGAGGATCTCGGTCTTTTCCGTTTGCAATTAGTGCTGCTCGTGAGAGGGAAGTTTTAAGCTTGGAGAGGAGTGACCCCTGGGGCCAATTTGCCGTTAATTTTGACTTCTCTGCTTGGTAATCCTGACCATGAGTGGATGTCTGCTGATGAATCTATCAGTGACACGCTTCTGGTTGGTAATAAAGTTGATGACCATTCTGAACTCTGCTCTTACAAAACAAACCAAATTTATTGACAACAAGCCTGAAGGAACAGTTGACGAAGTATTTTCGGGACCAGAAAACGTAAAATCGGTTATCAGAAAACCTCATGAAACACAAGTTGGTCGATCAAAACTTCCCAACTCTCAGTCTAAATCTGAGTCACTGAGACACTCCCAGCACACCTCAGCTTGATGATATGAGAAATAGGAATTCTTCAAAGTTTTATAGCTGAGAAGCAGTTCCAAAATCTTGAAAGGCAATCCCCACTTCCGACTCTGAACACAATGATTCTCTTGCTAGACCGGATACTTGTGTGACTACTAGTACTGAACCTTCGTTTACCAAATCAGATGATAAAATAGTCATGAGTAAACATCCCTCCAATCCTCGGCAGTCATCCAAACCAAAATCTAACGAATTTATAATTGACCAGAGGAGTCTCTTTGATACATGTTGCATGCAACGTATGTCAAGAGCCTCTCAGTAACAATACTAAACTTGACAACACAACTGAAATACATCATTTCAGTAGCAATGCTAAACTTGACAGCACAACTGAAATACTGAATACAGCCTCTCAGAGATTGGAGATGAACCTGGCCTGATCTTTCAAAATAAAAGGCAGTAGGAGCTTTTAAAATAAATATTTAAGCTTTAAATATTCACCAGCTTATATTATTCACTTGTCAATTGCTAATGGACATGGACTTACGGCCCAGCGCGCGCTACTTTGAATGCAGAATGGCAATGTATTAATTGACGATGTCAATTCATGGCAGCTCGGCGCGGCACAGTAACGCATCGCGCTACAAGGCAATGTACAAATATTTCGAGAAGAAAGCGGCGCGCGCTACATGACACGCTACTTTGAAGAAATTTAGACGAGTATTAGTAATATATAATAGTATTATCATCGGTTTAATATTCACCAAATTTTATTAACCAGCTAGAGCGATTGAGTAGAGCTTGCGCTTATATTACAATTATTTTTTTGTGAAATAGTGACATCAAATACAAATTATAATTTAACTTATTTTGTATTGATTGTGAGCATAAACTGATTTCAACACTAAATTTAAATTTTCTTTTTACTATGATAATGATATAATATTTGACCAAAACCCATAATCATGGGTAGAGTGGACCGCTGCCAGTGTCTCTCTTTCCCAAACAAAAGGAAATGATATTAATTTGATTGACCGTTCTCAAATGCAAAATGATACCGAGAATGAAATCGGTCGCTCGCTTTTCCCATTCATTCACGGCTTACGAATTGTGATAAGTTTCGATTGATTAGGTACATCAATCAGATGCTGTAAAAATCTCTTTGGGTTGCGTTCGGGTCGATACCTAGTATTTCGGGGTAAGGGTGGTAGTTATTACATATTGAATTAGCTGAAGTTTATTGAATCTTTATTGCTGAGTACAGCTGCCTTTGGGTAGTTCTTCTTAATCTATTACAATTGTAAATGAATGGGAAAAGCGAGCGACCGATTTCATTCTCGGTATCATTTTGCATTTGAGAACGGTCAATCAAATTAATATCATTTCTTTTTGTTTGGGAAAGAGAGACACTGGCAGCGGTCCACTCTACCCATGATTATGGGTTTTGGTCAAATATCATCTCTTTTTGATTATAATGTCAGGGTACTTTATAAAGTCGAAATATAAACTGATATCTTCATTAATAAGGAGGAAGTTTCAACAATTTCGAAATTTTTCCTTTAAAAACATTTCCTTGTGTTTAGGTAAGCATAGCGGTCGATCACTGACTGAATATGCCACTTAATACTCATTCAAGTTGGCATTAAATTCATTTATAATGACATTAAACTGTCGTGGCAAAGCAGAATTTGTTGGAAATCACAAATGAGCAAAATTCTCACCTTTCGCACGTGCAAACTTTGAGCGGACGTTGCGCCGTGCGCATCCAATATTGAATCACCGTAAAATTTTGCATGTAATTGTTGTATATATAGTTTGATAAGCATGCAAAGTTTCAAAGTATTTCAAGAAGAACTGTTATCACAACGGCACTCTAAAGTTGACAGAAAATGACGAAAACAGCAATTTTCAGTGATTTTAGCAATTTTTTATCAATTTGGGCGTGTCCCCACGTGTGCAACTTTTCGATTTTTAACTTTAAAACTAGCCTAATGCACAATTTATATCTATAGGAAGCAGAACTGAGCTCCACAACCCAAGGCATGGCCCAACACCAGAGAATACTAAATCGCAAAATTGACGTTTTTATAAAATAATTCTTCAAAAAAACACAAACTTCAATGACGAATATCTTTATGAAGGAGCAAGCTAGAAAAACTTTCCGGTAGATTTTCAGAATGCTTGAACAATTATCTAAGGTGAAAATTTCCTCAGATTTTGAATACAATTACTTTTTAATGGTGTAAAATCATTTTTAAAAGTTATTACTTTGTCAAAAATCAAGTTTTAAAAACGGTTAACTTGATGACGTCATCAAGGGGTGTTCATGACGTCAAATAATTTGTTTATATAGGTAGTGCGCCATCGACAGTGAGCCGCGCGTACCGACTGTAGGATGGTTTTTTAGCGCTAATTTCGGCCAGCACAATTTTCTTCAAACAAATAGATATTAAGTATCCTTCCCGACCTCCGATTGCAACAAAAATTGGTAAGCTTACTGATAGACTTACAAGGAAAGTGTCCGAAAAGTTTGAAGCATATCCAACCATCAAACATTATGTTACAGCTAAAAGCAGCGTATTTTGCCCCATTTTGATTACTATATCAACTCCGATATCCACCAAATTTTTCGGACAGTTGTGAAAGCCCTATTGGAAGGTCGTCGCCAATTTTCAGAATGATCTCATTCAAGGAACTGAAGATATATCCAAATAATACGACAAAAATCAACGAGTTTGGTCAAATTTGGTCAAATTACGCGACTTTTACAGCTAATTTTGCTCCAAAAGCCGCGCACCATCAAATATGGCACCTAGGCGAAACTCACTGATCTTTCCAAAAAGGTATGACAAATTTGGTATTGTGAAAATTCTCACAGTCTCTAGAAAACAATGGTACAAAAAATTTTAAAATCCGAGCAAGTTTATTTTTATGGTGCACGCCCTAGTTTATACAATGTAAACTAAAGTGTAAACAATTATTTTCAAGATCAAGACCTGTGGTC